CTTCTTCCTCATCGACTGGAACCGTGGGCTACTCAGTTCTTCTCTGCGTTTTCTCAAGTTGTCACAAATCAAAAAATTCCACTTCTAAGTGGACTTGTGCAGTCAAACACGTGTTGTTCAGGAGTCAACTGTGTTTTGCCAAGGTCCCTTTGCTGTTCTCCTCTCATTCCTTGTCTTAGCAGGATCTGATGTCGTTGACTGTAAATCTCTATTTAAACCTCTGTGACTTTGCCTGTGCCTGGCTTTGTCCTTTCTTGTTGGTGGCCCATTCGCAGTATCCCATGCTGGTCTTCTTGACTCCTTCATGTGGGAGGTCCCCGGGGCACAGGACCTAGTCTCTTCCTCTCCTTCTCTCTCCACGCTCCGTCTCTTGGCCTGCCTGGCCTCTCCAGTTGGGCTTAATTGATACCTCTGATTTCACATGTTCAGAACAAGCTCCTGCGCCCTCCTCTGCAGTTCGTCTTAGCTGCTGCCTCCTGTCTCAGGATTACACCCAGCCTCACATCATGTAGCCTGACACCCTGCTTGCCTTCTTCACCCTCTCTATCTCACACCATTCTCTTGGCCTTACCCTCAGAATACGCAGCCTTTCCTCACTGCCTATATGGCTGCCGGCCTCTGGTGGGCCACTGCCAGCCTCTCTTGCGAGTGGGTTCCTGCTGTCCCTGGTTCCCCACAGTTCTCCTGAATGGCTGTGCATTTCACCCATTGTCAGTGCAAAACCTTTCCTGTGGCTGTGGCCTCAGAGACCCCACGAGGCCTGCCCTATTACCGTGACCTCTCGTCCTGCCTCCTCTGCCCTCCTCCTGGCCCCACTGGTCTCCTTCGTGCTCCTGGAACACAGTCAGCCTGGGAGCTGTTGTGCTGGCTGTTGTCTGCCAGGAATGATTCTTTTCCAGATGTCTGTATTTGAAACTCTTTCTTCCTTCGTGACTTTGCTGGAATATCAGTGCGTCTACCCTAACTGCTGTGATGACAATTGTCAATCCATTCTTCAGATCCTCTCTGCAACGCCCAACCCTTACACTCTGCTCTGTTTTGTTTTCAAGTATATCTATCAACTCCTGAGGTTACATAATCGGCTTCCGGCATTTACTGTTTATCTCTCCCCTCGTTAGAATGTAACCTCCCAGATGACAGGACTTTGTTTTGCTCACAGATGTTTCCCAGCGTGCCTAGGACAGTGGCTGACACACTTCCCTCCCGTGTGTCATGGCTGGACAAATGAATAAAGTGGCAATGAATTGCGGCTACGTTATCCACAACAGAGCTAAAGCCCTGTCCCTCCCAACTCAGCTCTCCCTGCACCCTCTACATTTCCTTACTGTAAACTTGCAATTTTTATTTAGAGAAAAGAGCTCTTTCCCCTTTCCCTGGGAGCTCTCCAACACAGACTAATGAGCTTCAGTATTGCTAACCAGATAGGCAGGTTAATGTTCCCAGGGCCACTTTCTGCCTTACGGCACAATCAGAATTTGTTCTCATACACGAGCCACATGAACTGTACCTTCATTTTAGTTTTTGAGTTTCAGAAGGGCTCACAGGTGCATGGCAGGACATGCTGTCTGGGAGAACAGTTCTGATCTTCAAAATGTTTCCACATTTTCAGTCCCCGTGACTGTGGGGTCCCTGTCACTGTTTCTCCCTCTCTGAGGGACACCCCAGGTGGAGGGCAGTGCCATGTTCCTACAGACCTTCTTCTCAAGGAGGTTTTTAGCAGAGAGGGCTTCTCTCTGGAGCTTAATCTTCCAGAAGAGTCCAGGCACCTTCGGACATGAAGGTGTGCGAGGAAAGGGACGTCATGTTCACAGGCATTCGTGCTGGGATACAGGTTGGAAAGCTCTGGAAAACTCGTCCCTCTAGCAAGGGAATCTTTCCCCTGCCCTCTGATCACTCCAGTAGCACTTCATTATGGCACTGTGTTCACTGCCTCCTCAGCACATACCCAAATTTCTAATTATCTGGTTTACGCATTTCGTACACAATTGTTCTATAATTGTATGTACAGTCATGCACTGCATAATGTTTTAGTCAGTGATGGGGGTGTATATGATGGTAGTCCCCTAAGATTCTAACACTGTATTTTTACTATGCCTTTCAATATTTAGATACACAAATACCAGCCACTGTGTTAAAGTTGCCTGCAGTGTTCAGTATAGTAACATGCTGTACAGCCGTGCAGCCCAGGAGTGGTAGGCTGGACCATATAACCAAGGCGTGTAGTAGAACAGACGTGTAGCCTAGGGGTGCAATGGGCTGTGCCATCTGGGCTTGTGTAACACACTGTGGTGTTCACACAATGACGAAATCAGCATGTGTCCCCATCCGCAAGCTGTGTGTGGCTGTATTATACATGTGGGACATGTAATTGTTATAATAGCATTACAATATCTTCCCCTGTGTCACCGACTAGAGCATGCCCTCCAGGAGGGCAGGGGCTGTGTCTCCAGCGTTGAGTCCAGGCTGTGGACTGGATGCCACTCTTCCCATTTTTGAAGGGATGGGTAATTGGTTACAATGGAAGAAGGCAAGAGAAGCGTAACTTCCTATTGTGGTGGATGCTGTGACGGCGTGAAATTGACTCCTGTACCTTCGTGTGTGCCATGGGAGCCTAATCAGAGACTTTTTTTCTGCCACAGCAGTGAAAAAGCACTTCTGACTGAAATGTTGTGCATGGCCATGAATTCTAGGTCTATCCCACGTAAGTCTTCAGGTCACAGTTTTTTTATCAGTAAAGTGGGGAAAACAGGCCAAGAATTCTCTAAGTTTCTTCCTTTCTTTTAGTTTTTAGGACATTTTTGCCTTACATTACTATTAAATTTGCTCACAGTTTTTTTTAATAACTTCCTGCATTTCTTTTTTTTTTTTTTTTTTTTGAGACAGAGCCTCAAGCTGTCCCCCTGGGTAGAGTGCTGTGGCATTACAGCTCACAGCAACCTCCAACTCCTGGGCTCAAGTGAGTCTCTTGCCTCCGCCTCCCAAGTAGCTGGGACCACAGGTGCCCACCACAACGCCTGGCTATTTTTTGTTTGCAGCCGTCATTGTTGTTTGGCGGGTCCGGGCTGGGGATTCGAACCCGCCACCTTAGGTGTACATGGCTGGCGCCTTAGCCAGTTGAGCTATAGGAGCCGAGCCAACTTCCTGCATTTCAGTGTGTTTCCACTTGGAGTCCTACTGTGTGCTAGCAATTTGCTGAGCTGCACAGCCCTGGCATGTGATTTGAAAACACACTTTAATATATACAGATGTGTGCACATATTTACACATGTATACATAGTATGTATGTATATATACATAGAAGAGGATCCATAGTCTAATGGTGAGCTTAAATTTATGAGATCTGACTTCGTGTATTTATTCTTAAATTTAACATAGAAAAGTTAGTGACCAGTGGTAGTCATAATTTTTATACTTTTTATGCCTAAATTATCTCTCTAATAGGATCAAGGGAGAAGAGAACATAAAGATTATTTCATCTATATTTCTTATTCTGCTAAGAACAATTAAAAACTGCTCACTTGCCCGACATTCTGTCAGTCATGTGACAGCCAGAACCAGCCAGAACCATTCAGGCAGCCAGTGACTCTCAGTGCTTTGCTTTTTAGACTACAATTCAGTATAATTTCTGAAAACATCTATTTATGGGGTAGGTATTACTCTCAGGAAGTCTGCCAATAATTATTTACAAGTAAGAGGAGGGTTACAGTGTGCTGTAACGTAGCCATGGAAAGTGAACCTAGAACTCAAGGAAGGCCTCCTGGTGATTTGATAAAACTTGAAGATGGGTTGAGCATGGTAGCTCATGCCTGTGATCTTAGCACTCTGGGAGGCTGAGGCAGGAGGATCCCTTGAGCTCAGGCCAGCCTGAGCAACAGCGAGACCCCCCATCCCTACTAAAAATAGAAAAGCTACTTGGGCATGGTAGCAGATGCCTATAGTCCCAGCTACTAGGGAGGCTGAGGCAATAGGATTGGTTGAACCTAGGAGTTTGAGGTTGCTGTGAGCTAGGCTGACACTTGGGCAACCAAGTGAGACTTTGTCTCAAAACAAATAAGCAAGCAAGCAAGTGAGCAAAAAAAAAACTTGAAGATGCATAGGAAAAAGCTTGGCAATGAGGGAAGAAGAAAATTCTGAGCCCAAAGAACAGCCTGTACAAAGGCCCAGAGTGAGTAGATGGTGTGTGAGAGGAACTCCCTGAAGACCAGATGGAGTTGAGGGGAAAGAGAGAGAGAGCCTGAGATATAAAATCTAGCCAAGGATCCAACTGGGGGCCCCTTTATAGACCGTGGTGAACAGAGATGGATTTGAATAGAAACCCTAGGAAGGGTTTGAAGCAGTGGGCTGGCTACCCTTGGAAGTCGTGCGATCACTTGAGTATCACTTTATTCCCAATGGTGTAAAAGCGGCGTGTGTACCAGTGTTCAGGCTAATCCTGACCTGTGCTCCCCAGAGATTAGCAGGCCACATGAGAGGTAGAGTTGTCCTGTCACTCTGGCCGGTACCACCACACCTTGCTGTCCAAACTGCATACAGATTCACGCTTTGAATTTCTGACTATGTTGGGAATAATCCCATCTTCTGCCCCCTTTGACCTAGCAGCTTCTCTAATGTTGCCATTTCACCGTGTTTGGAAAAACCTTTTCCTGGCCTTCTGCCCTGGGCCACCAATTTCTCCATCAGACTCCCACAGCTGCTAAGGAGCTTGTAGATATGAGTTGTAGTAAATTCTGCTGGTCACTGAAATTCATTTCTATAGCACCTAACTTGGAATCAGAGTTTCAAAAGAATCATATGCGTTTGTTGCTTATATGGCTTTATTTTACTGAGAATATTTGGATGTTCAAATAACAATTTAATTTTAACAACTTATAATTTAGTTCACTTGTTTCAGTTGACACGATTTAATTTTCTTTTCATCTTGTTATGGATGATGCCAGTGAGACGTCTGAGTTATTACCGCTGTGTGTTCAACCGCTTTTTATCTCTTCTTTAATTTGCAGTTTTCTCGTGTACTGAAGAATAGAGCCTGGCCCACTTTTAAACAGGCCAAATCTAAAATCTCCCCACTACACAGCAGTGACTTCTGCCCCACCAACTGCCACGTCAATGTGATGGAAGTTTCCTATCCCAAAACATCAACCTCCCTGGGGAGCGCATTTGGTGTTCAGTTGGATAGTAGGAAGCATAATTCTCATGATAAAGAAAATAAATCTTCTGAGCAAGGTATGTTAGCTTTAAAAACGTTAACAAAGCATGAAAAGTAATTTAGGCAATCCTGGCTATTCCTGTATCCTTGAAATTCAGTGGATTCCTGGTGTGTAAACAACCCTGAACTTGGCTAAGAAGGGATTCCTCACCATAATCATTTGTATAATTATGCATAATTATATAGCAAATGAGACTAGAGTTAGGCATTTTTATTATTTTTCTTCTCTTCTTCTCATTTTCCTTGTATGTGTGATAGGCCTCGCTCATCTTGCTGTGAAAGCCACTTACCCAAAATTGCCCTGTAACTTTTAGAAAAATACCCAGGGAACAGCTGCAGGAATGCACAATGCCATCCTGCACCATCGAGGCAGGACAAAGGATTGAACTGTCTTCCTAACTTTTAATTACAACTCCCGACAGGCTTTAATTTCTGAATTAAATTCAGCTTTAGATTAGCATTTTCTTTTATATAATCTTGAACTTCTAAAAGACTGGATTAAAAAAATGTGTGTGTGAGTGTGTGTAATGGACTACTATTCAGCTATAAAAAAGAAAGAAACTCTGTCATTTGTGAAAGAATTATGGATGAACCTGGAGGACATTATGTTAAGGGAAATAAGCCAGGCCCAGAAAGGCAAATACTGCATGAAGAATTTGCATCTGGAATCTAAGAAAGTTGATCTCATAGAAGTTGAGAGTAAAATGGTGGCTACCAGGGGCCAGTAGGATTGGGATGGGGAGTTGGGAAGATGTTGGTCAAAGGATACAAAATCTCAGTTAGATAGGAGATACCAATAAGTCCAAGAAATATCTATGGTACAATATGCTGACTGTAGCTAACAATATAGTGGGTTCTAGGTAAGGGCTAAGAGAGTGCAGATAAAGTGTATTCGCCATAAAAAATGATAGCTGTGTGAAGTAATGCATGTGCCAGGGAGCTATATTTAGTCATTCCACAGTGTACATGTACTTCAAACCATCATATTGTACCTGGTAATACGTGCAATTTTATCTGTCCATTAAAAATAAATAAATGAAATGAATGGGAGTGGGTTGTTCTAAGGTAATGATTTTGCGTGCAGGGAAGCTGAGCCCCATGGTGTATGTTCAGCACACCATCACAACCATGGCAGCCCCTTCCGGCCTCTCTCTGGGACAGCAGGATGGTCACGGACTCAGGTACCTGTTAAAAGAAGAAGACTTAGAAACCCAAGACATCTATCAGAAATTGCTGGGCAAACTTCAGACTGCCATGAAGGAGGTGGAGATGTGTGTTTGTCAAATAGACGAGTAAGTACCGTGCATTGTACTTTCAAATTTGCCTGTCGAAGTAGCTGTAGAAAATGTGACTTTTGGAAAATCCTGTCATTCTCTCTTTAGTTTTTGGAAATGCAGGAGATTTGTATCATGAGATCCGCCACATTCCAACATCTTATACGTGATCTTTAAAATGGCAAATAGATATTGATATGTATTTTAAGTAAGGATTTAATACCAAGGAAGAGAATGATAAAATTCTGTCCTATACACAAATGCTAAGTAAGTCTCAAGTGTGGAAGGATTACCTTGAAATATATGTTTGAAAAGTGCTAATTTTTAATAAGGATTTCCATGTACTCTTTATAGCTCAGGGGACGATATTTGGTGTATATTGCTCAACAGATACTTAGGAAAGATGTAAAGTATAATAAATGGGCTGGGTTTGGTGGCTCATACCTTTAAGCTAAGGCCAAGGCAGGAGGATTGCTTGAGAGGCCAGTTCAAAACCAGCCTGAACAGCATACAGAGATCCTGACCCTACAAAGATTAAAAAAGGTTATCCGAGCATGGTGATGCAAGCCTATAGTCCCAGCTTCTAGCAAAGCTGAGGCAAGAAGATCGCCTGAGTCTAGGAGCTCAAGGTTACAGGGAGCTATGATTGTGCCACTGCGCTCCAGCCTGGGCAACAGATTGAGACTCATGTCTTTTAAAAAAAAAAAGTATAACAAATGCTTAAAATACTTGCTAAATGAGTAAGTGAAAATGGTGTATTTCTAGTGCAAGTATGTTTTTCTGTTCTGATTGAATTGATGGCCTGCTAAACAGTAACCCAAATAGCTGTGCCAGTAATTTTTACCAGGAGAAGGTGGAGGTAGTTAATGAGCCCTGTTCTGGTGAAATCAGTTCTGCTTATTCCAGAATTTGATGGTTGGAGAATTTCCTGACCTCTGCAGGGTCAGGGTGGTTTGTCCCACCACAGTGTGTGATGACTGACGCTTCACATCCAGGCAGGGCACACTATTACAGTATAGTGAAAACAGCATGGGATTTGGGGGAGCTCAATTTCTCAGCTCTAGAAGTGGACAGATAATAATAAGACCTTATAAGTCTGGGGTGAAAATTATACAGAGTAGTACAGCAAGCAATCACCATGCGTGAGCCTCCTTTGAAGAGAAGGAAATGGTTGACTATATCCAACATGGGTAGATTCTGAAACTGATATAAACACCACTATCCTCTTTTTACCGTACTCTCTTTGTGAAGTTGTGGATTTAAATTGCTGTGATGTGTACTCTTCACTTCGCACACAGATGTCATCCATGGAAATTGTTCTGTGGAGAATTCCATTTTGTCATGAGATGTTGAGAACTCATTCCAAGCCTTGGTTGTAATTAGACATCATACTGATGATGTCATAATTAACATGCTCTCATAGTTTACATGACTTTGAAATTTAGAGATCAAAATCACTGTATTAGATGTATCAAACATTATCTTCAGATATTGACTATTTGCTATTTTATTTTCCTGAAGTCTTATGAGCAATTTAGAATTAAATTTCTGTTTTCCTATGTCTAATATACTAGTTTTTACAAATTACTTAGAACCTTTGTATATTATCCTGTGACTTCCCCATTTACAGGTGAATTGAACTGTTTGATAAGCAGCCAAGCCTAACAAATGATTTAAAAAGCTACTTACCAAACAGTTTTCTTTTCATGTAGTAGTTATTCTTGGTTGGACAAAGATGTCTTTGCAGAATGGAGAAGCAAATCTCGGATGTGCTGCCAAGTTTTCAGAGAAATCGCCTCATCTCTCATTGCTAGCCTTTCTAGAAGTTATTCAGTCCTGAGACGGGGCCTGGCATTGCGCTTGCCTAATTATGAAGTCTGGTTACCTCGTCACTTGGGAATATCTCCTAGAAATAAAATTTTCCTTAACACATAGGCTTTTCACAAAATCCTCCTACTTAGCTTCAGATCCAAAGATGGAAGTAGAGACAAATTTGCTGTCTAGTAACGTGAGAAAAGATAAATTTAGTCAGGGCTTTGTGATTCCTGCTTCACTTTAGGAAGCAGAATACTTCTGCCCTTTACTGGGGTGATTTTCTAGCTAATGACACTTAGATACTAGAAGTAAGCATAAGTAAGAATTACTCATGTCCAGAATCTTGGGCAGGATTTCAAAATAGAGGGTTTATGTTTCTCACTGGGAGAAAATGAATGAAGAGTGTTTGAGCTTGTGAAGATTGGAAATTTGATAATAGACTTCATTTGTCCAGGGGCAGGTACGCCAGGATTGAGTGATGAGCAAACTGCATTGCAGGACTGTTAGTGACCGGGGGGCGGGGGGGGGGGTTACAGGTGGGAATGGCGGTGTTTGGAAGTTTCCCTAAGCATTTTGCAGGCATATGTACAAAAGGGAGCATAACTTTGTAAAAACCCACACTGATTATAGGCCTGCGTGCCAGGCAGCTCTCTACTGTCATAGACATTCATTCTCACAGGCCCTCTGTGATTTGGGCTGTGAAACACTGGGATGCATCATAGACATCTCAAATGTAAATTTGTTTCCAAAACTGAATTACAGTTTCATCATACTTCAATCAGATTCCCCCTCTGCCAAGGTCTTCCCCTTCTCGGTAAAATATTCCCCTTCTTTTCAATTCATCAGGCCAGAATCTGGGTGATGGTTTGGCTCCTCCTCTTTTCTTCCCCTCCACCTGCAATACCTCACCACGTTCTGGCAGCTGCACCTCAAAATGTATCCACTCCTGTCGCCCCAGATCATGTCATCCTCTGTGCTCACACCCGCCCTGTAGGAGCTTCCAGGCTGGCCTCTGTGATCCATTGTCCACTCAGCAGAGGCCGGTGGCCTGCCCTAAACCGCTGGATGGCCTTACGCTGCAGTAAAGTACTATCCAGCGTGGCCACAAGTTTCCACCCCTCTGCCCCATCCATCTCTCCACATGTACCTCCCAGAGCTCTGGCTGCATTAGCCACTTTCTGGCCCTAGAAAATGGCAAACTCAGTCCCTCCTTAGGGTTCTCTGCCTGCTTGGCTCTGCGCAGCTGGCCTGCTGGTCACTCAAGTGTCAAGCTGGTGTGAGGTCTGCAGAGATTCTGTGTCTGGCACCCCAAGATAAAGGAGATGCTCTCCTGCCCAGGTGCTCATGCCCTGCTGCCATGGATGCTGCCCCGTTTCTGTGTTGCACCTTTGTTGTTATGTTAACAAAAACTCTAAAGGCTCAGACTTCTGACAACAAGGGTCTCTTTCTTGCTTACTCTGCATGCCCCACATGGGGCACGGAGTCTCTGTTCACATTGTCCTCACCCAGAGTCACAGGCTGGACTGTGTCTGACTGTCATGGTAGGGAGGAGAGAGGGAGGGACGCACATGGGATAAAGACCTTTGCTTGCAGGGGGCCATGTCACGTCCACTCACACTGCATTGGCTAAAGCAAGTCACGTGGCCACAACTGTCCTCAGAGGGAGAAGGGAGTGCCAGCCGGGTATGTGCTCAGCAGATTTGTGACATAGTAACAGCACTGTTGACCTCTCTGCTCTGTCTGAATGTGCAAGATCTCTGCAGGGAGTGGGGGGCCTGTGCTTAACTTGTAAAGAATATGTGTGTAACAATGTGTCTGTCCCACCTCACATCTAAACTGGGGGTAATAGTAATAATACCTACTTCATATGGTGGCAAAGGATTAAGTGAATTAGTATCTATTAATTAGCATAGACTATCATAAAAGCTCAACAAATGTTAACTATAATAATGGTGATGACGATATTTAAAAACACATAGGTATTTGCAATATACTATGGACAAAAAACTTTATTTAATGCACATATGCCCCATGTTCCATTATTGAAATGGTAGTGACATGACAATTATTTTTGTCCTACGTCAAGGCCATATTGGAGGTCTCCTGTTTCACACACATCTGCCTTCTGAGGGTACATTACCTCGTGCAGAGTTGGTCACTGCTGCAGACACTGGCATGCTGGGAGCTTGTCAAAAACTCATGCAAAAAATTCAGAAGTTTCAGCCTCCAACATAAATGGATTAATAACATGGCATTAGAGGGATTCATCTGGAATTGCATGCTGGTGAGGGTTGTAATTAATAGACCTTACTAAGTGGCTCAATATTATACACAGCAAAAGTAAAGGAACCATTTCTATGTGAACAAATAAAATATCATCATTTGATGCCTTATTGTTGCCTTTCAAAATCTAGATATTTTAGGCGAAAACTTGTTATCAAAAACCTGATTTCTATCATTCATTTGTAAGCCTAACACTTGTTCTTGTGGGGTTGGTGCAAGCATGATTTCAGCTGTTTTAAAATAAAAAGCAAATACTGTATGTGAATACAATTCATATGATCTTGGGGGAAAAGAAGTTCGTGCTAATTTGAAAGACTCATACGCCCAGAGGACTCTTTGCAGAAGGAGAAGACCTGCGTATCTTTCCTCTTGGTATTCAGAGTTCATCTTCTATGCAGCGTGGAGCTGGGATAACTGCAGTTAGTCTAATGTTCTAATCTTGTGGGTGGAGGAGCGAATAAATACACAATCTGTTTTACAAGACATGAAAAACCAAACTCTCTTCCCAATGAGAAAAACCATAGTTAAAATTATCCATACCTTTCAGTTATTGAAAATACTCATAGGGCCTTGACAAGGGAACGTAACTCCTCTGGTTTTTATCAGTGTCTAAAAACTGTGAAATGCCAAAATGTTATTCAGGTATCCCCTTACCTGGCCATGCTATTTGAAATGAAGTTGTGCTCTTCCTCCCCTTGTTTATTTTTCCTCTTAGCATTTGCCTCTGTGTGATACACTATAAAGCTTACTTGTTTATTTTTCGTCTCCTCTCAGTAGAATTTGAGCTCAAAGAAGGCAGAGGCATTAGTGTGTTTTGTAAACTGCTGTAACCAAAGCACCAAGGGCAATGCGTGGTATAATAAATGTGTTTAATTACTTAACAGGTCTTTACTTAATGCATAGCCTTGGGGCTGACGTTATGGGATATATATAATGGAGATAAGATGCTTTCATAGTCTGAAATAACAAAACAAACATTAGATTGCTATGGAAAAATGAGGGTGGAGATACGTGTGGTGGACTGGAAGTCAATGTTACAGGTATTTAGTGAATGCAGAGATGACTGTGGTCTTGAGAAGCCATACATAGGCACTTTGTTTACCTTATGGCTTAATTCATTTTGCTTTTTTTTTGAGGCAGAGCCTCACTCTCTCACCCTGGGTAGAGTGCTGTGGCATCACAGCCCATAGCAACCTCAGACTCTTGGGCTTAAGTGATTCTCTTGCCTCAGCCTTCCGAGTAGCTGGAACTACAGGTGCCTACCACAGTGCACAGCTGGTTTTTCTATTTTTAGTAAAGATGGGGTCTTCCTCTTGCTCAGGCTGGTCTGGAATTCCCGAACTTAGGCAATCCACTGGCCTCAGCCCCTCAGAGTACTAGGATCATAGGCGTGAGCCACTGCAACCGGCCCATTTTGCAAGGTTTTTAGTATGCTGCTTGGTGATTAAGAGCAATTATAGTTTTGTCTAATTTTGAGTTAGACAGTACTAACAGGAATATTCTATACCAAGCAATCCAGCTTAGAGTGGTAGAATCGGCCACTATCCGAAGTTGTCAGGTTTCCCTCCAGTCTGGAGCCAAGTGTAAGATCCGCATCTGGCCAGATGTGTGACATTCCATCCTGGCTGCATAGCAGATGAGATTCAAGTTGCCCCTGCTTCCTCCTGATCTCACTCCTTATGTGACTCTGCTTTGCGTCTAATAATCTCTAAGGCCAGGACTCCTGTTTGTGGGAGCAGTGGGAAGGATTGACATTATGATATTTTCCTTGATAAATTGAGAAAGCCTGGGTGTAACCTAAGATGGGGTGGAGGGGTAGGATCTAAGGATGTGCCAGTGAGATACCGAAGCATATTTAGTGCCTGGGTTTAATGTTTGGTTAACATTTAAGATCACCAATGTGTTCACATTGTGGTGACAGTGGCGGCCCTGGTGAGGACAGAAAGGTGACCCCGTTACACACCAGCAATACATTGCTGCATTCCCGCAGCAATCGTGTGGATTGGTTATTCTTATGATCCCACTTTGCAAATGTCAAAGAAAACTGTCATAGCTTTGTTTTAGCTGCAGTTATAAGTGACAGAACCAGGATTTGAATGTAGCTTTCTGAGCTAAATTGTGCACGGTTTCTACTTCTTATTCAGAGAAGACCAAGAGAACTTTCTGTGACATGCTTTTTCCATGCAGTAGAATATTTGATGTGAAACATGGAAGCGCTCTAGAAATATTTGCAAGCCTATCATATTCAGCAAATAAGGTAGTTTTCTATAGCAGACAGTTTGAAAATGTGCACTTACGTTTTTTTCAATACCACATTGCAGCCTTCTGTCTTCGATAACATATTCTCCTAAATTAGAACGAAAGACATCCGAGTGTATAATACCAACAGACAGCGACAACGAGAGGGGAGAGAGAAACAGCAAACGAGTCTGTTTTAACGTCACAGGAGACGAACAGGAAGATTCAGGTCATGACACCATCAGCAACAGAGACTCTTACAGGTAACTCATTAATGCCTCAAACTCATTTTATCAACAAAGTCAAAGGTGATTCTGTATTTTCTACAAAAGTCTTGACAAAACTTATTAACTTTTTAATTGTGCTGTTGGTGGTTTCTAAAACATAAAGGACAGCATAGTCTTTCGAATTCTTCCCTTTTGTCGTCTGAGAAAAAAAAACAACAACACTTTTTTCTCCAGTTGTGTGGACCTCATTTGGGAGACTTGTTCTATATATGGATTGAATAACATGGATAGCAAATAAGAAAAGTGTGCCTATACAGTATTAACATTTTCTCTGCGTATCTGTTTCTGATCATTGGTGGTCAGTAGTCCTTTTTGCCGTGTCCTTCTCTCTTCTTTTTATATTCTCTGTTCCAAGCTAGTTGGACTAATTTCACTTGCCCACCCCCCATCAGCTTTATGTTTTTTCTTCTTTTGGACACCTTGTGCATTTTTTTTGTTTGTTTGTTTTGTGTGTATTTGTTTTCTAAGGCTGCAAATTACTACCAACCAGGTGGCTTAAACAACAGAACTATATTATTGTGCAGTTTTGGAGGTCAGAAATCTGAAACCAGGGTGTTGGCTGTGTTGGTTTTTTCTTTTTCTTTTCTTTTCTTTTTTTTTTTTTGAGACAGAGCCTCAAGCTATCCTCCTGGGTTGAGTGCCATGGCATTACAGCTCACAGCAACCTCCAACTCCTGGGCTCAAGCGAGTCTCCTGCCTCCGCCTCCCAAGTAGCTGGGACCACAGGCGCCCGCCACAACACCCAGCTATTTTTTGGTTGCAGTCGTCGTTGTTGTTTGGTGGGCCTGGGTTGGATTTGAACCTGCCACCTTAGGTGTATGTGGCTGGCGCCTTAGCCACTTGAGCCACAGGCACTGAGCCTGTGTTGGTTTTTCTAAGGGCTGTTGGTTCCAGGCCTCTCTCCTTGACATGTGAAGGGCCACCCGCTCCCTATGTCTCTTCGCATCAGCTTCCCTCTAAGTGTCTTTGTGTCTAAATTTTCCCTTCTTATAAGGACGCTAGCCATATTGGATTAAGGACCCACCCGGATGACATTGCTTTTGATGACATTGCTTTTGACGCGATTACCTCTATAAAGACCCCGTCTCCAAATAAGGTCACATTCTGAGGCACTGGGTGTTACACATTAACATAGGAATTTGGGGGGGGGGAGGTGACACAATTCAGCCAGTAACACCACTCCTCCCAAACTCTGTTGTCATCTTCCTACCAGACTCTCAAATGACATCTCCTCCCATGACCTTCCTTAATTAAAAGGGCTTTTCTCTCTTGAATCCTGTGTCCCCTGAAACCTCATGGAGGACGGCCCCAACCTGTCACATAAGCTGTGTGCACAACTTTAATGTCTTCCATTTCATTTGTATTAATGAAGGAAAAACGTATCTTATGCACTCCTACTTCTTATACGGGGTATCCCAAAGGTTTCCATACATAGGAAGATTACCAGCCTCATAATTTTTTGTATTTTTTGTGTTTATATATCAACTCATAGAGAAATATTTTGTAAAATTTTGTAATAAAAATTTTGTGAATGCTGCAGAGGTGTGGCAGGGGGGAGGGAAGGTGATTGGCAGGGAGAGGGAGGGTGGCTGGCGGGATCTCGCCTGATGTGCATGATGTGAGGATATATAGCACGTTCTCCCTGGGTGAAGGGCTCAACTACAACTTGAACTTTACCTTAGAATTGAAAACAATGTAACCTAAACATTTTTACCCTCATATTAATATGAAAAAAATACATTTCACTGCAATTTTCCATTTTTCCTGTGTATGTATGTATAGTGACCTTGGGACACAGCCTGCATGATGTTTTGCAATGAAAATATATTCAGTCTCAACTAAATCAAACTTATTATCATTGGAGGTATTTATCATGAACTGATAGCTAACATTAACAATATACTTTGATCATGTGCATGGGGGGAGAGGCTGGTTTCAGGTAGTCCCCACCATTTTCTCGTGCGGCAGGTGCTGACAGTATTAATAACTCCATCCTGCCCATCAGGAAGGCCAGGCCTGCAGCAGCATCACCGTTACCTATGAGACCAGCTGGTCTGGCTTCACAGTTTCTATCTTAACCGCCCTCTTATCCCAATTTCTGTGTTTCCGAAAAGGACTTTAACAGATACATGGAGTTAATTACTCTGAGAGGTTTAATAATAGATCGCACAGATTAACCACTTTTACCATTCCATTTACTTTTAGCTTCTAAGCACACCACCTGCACTTTAATAGGAATCTGGGGGTTTTTTTTCCCCCAGTGGGAAATAACATATCTAAAAATATTTTCTTACCTCAAATTCTTCTTATCAGATAATTAAAATTACCCTGACAGTTTCCCTCTAGGCTAAGATAGAAATTTTAAATATAAATTTAAAGTTAAATAAGTCCTTTTTACTGATTCTGAGAGGAAAGGAAATATTTTACCTCCTGAACTACTCATGAAATCTGTAATTGGTCTGTATCCTCACACACACTTTAAACATTTTTTTCTTGGACATTCATCTTTATGGAGCATTTACCTGTGCTCAGCTCAGAGACGGAGACTGATGAATCATGGATCCTCCCTCAGGAAGCTCCGAGTGTAACCAACAAGTTCTATTTAAGCTGTCGCAAAGGACCGAAAGGATGAAATCTTGAAGCAGGACTGTGATCTCACTGCACATGTGTACCATCAAACAGATTATTAATAATTTTGATCTGGTTCCTACTTTTACAGATACACGTTTTTAAAAATTTATTGCATAGTAGATTACATGACATAAGAAAATTTGATTACGATCGAATTTAAGTGCATAGTGTTAAAAAGTAAGATGAACTTAGTTGGACAAGTTTATCTTTCTTGCAGATTTTTATAACACGTTAATAAATATAACTATGATATAAGTTTATGTAAGAAGAACTCAAAGAGATACCTGGGCACATTCACACTTTAACCTGAAAATGGTTCTTTTCAGCGACTGCAACAGCAACAGAAATTCCATCGCCTCCTTCACCAGCATCTGCAGCAGCCAGTGCAGCTCGTATTTTCACAGCGACGAGATGGACTCAGGTGCGTGGCTGAAGGACCGTGTCTTTCTGATGTTAGTCTTGTCAGAGATAACTTTAAAGGATTACTTTCTTTGATCCGCATGAATTTTCACCTTTGGCCATCGGGACTGTGTTTCAGTTGTGTGTGCTTGATAAAGTCAGTTTTCCAACCCCATTATAAAGAGAGTGAATTAAAAAGAGATGAAAGAAGTGAACTAATTTTAAAGATGTATTTTCTGATCTCTCTACTGTACTGTGAAGGATGATAGGGACGTAGCAAACACATTTTACTCAAAGCGTTAGACTTTTTAAATTTTTTTTGAGACAGAGTTTCATTATGTTGCCCTATGTAGAGTGCCATGGCGTCACAGCTCACGGGAACCTCTAACTTTTGGGCTTAAGTGATTCTCTTGGCTCAGCCTCCCAAGTAGCTGGGACTACAGGTGCCCGCCACAATGCCCGGCTATTTTTTTGTTGTAGTTGTCATTGTTGTTTGGCAGGCCTGGGCCAGTTCGAACCCACCATCCCTGGTGTATGTGGCTAGCGCCCTAGCTGCTGAGCTCCAGGCACTGAGCCAACGTTAGGCATTATTGATTGGGATTGCGGAGGTGAGAAGGAGTTTGGAACTTAAGACATTTAAGACAGCAGGTATACCTGAGCTACTGATGTATCTGCGGCCCCCACCCTCTGGACCGCAGACCAATACTGGTCCACAGCCTGCTAGGAACCAGGCTGCACCCCTGGAGGTGGGTGGTACAGGCTGAACTAAACCTCATCTGTATTTACAGCTGCTCCCCATTGCTGGCATCACTGCACAAGGAGCTCTGCCTCCTATAACAGCAGCTGTGACATTAGATGCTCAGAGGCGCACAGACCCCACTGAACAATGCACACACAAGGTTGACACTACTTATGAGAATCTAATCTCCCCCACCCACCAGTCTGTGGAAACATCGTCTTCCATGAAACTGATCCCTGATGCCAGGAAGATTAGGGGCCTGTGCTCCAGTGACACAGAATGGGGTACTGACAGAAACACTGATTAATCTCTCTAGGAATGTCTTGTAGATACTCTGATTTTGTGTGTGTTAAGAACAGAAACTTCATACAATCAGGAAAAATCTTAATTCTGAATCCTGGCCTTTATTTTAATTCTTCAACCATTAGGAAAACACATCACTTGAAAGAAACATTAACAAACGTCCTTTCTGAGACACACTCAGCTTTCACCTGTTCCAGAAGAACAATCCGACATCCTAGGAGCTATTAAATTTCTTGGAATTTGTTTTTTGAACATGAGAGCTACTGTATGGAATGAGAGTTAGTGTTTAATTTTATTTAATATTAAAACATTTCAGAATGGTAAACATAAGATGAATGTTTTTTGTTTTGGCATCTAGGCGATGAACTGCCTCTAAGTGTTCGCATTTCTCATGATAAACAGGACAAGATACATAGTTGCCTTGAACATCTTTTCAGCCAGGTACCTCGGGGTCGTTTGTGGGTCTTTTTTCAACAGACTAAACCATTCAGATTCCCTTTTTGAGATGTAGTAAAAATGCTTGGAATTAGAGTGGAAAGACCTCCTTCTGTCTCTCCTTCTCCTTTACCTCAATTTCTGCCATTTAAAAGAGGAATAAATTCCTTAAGGTTAGCAAGAATATCAAGTTATAGGTGTGTATGGTCATTATACACACAGGAATTTTTTCATTTGGTTTTGGGGGTGGGTTTTCAGAATACTACATTTCTTGCTTCACTTTATTCCTAATTTTAAAAAGTTCAAAATTGTCTTGGTGCTAATATTTGGTGTTTTGCATTAAAAAAAAAATTAAAGCCATACTCAGAATTGGTAGTAGAGAGAGCTTTTACCATTTGGAAAAGGATTCCAATAACTTTTATGGTTTTTTTTTCTCTAACCACTCCAGATCTTTGACTTTCTTTTGTGACACAAATTTATGTTTTCTATTAATAGATGGTAACATGTCAAAAATGTCACTGTACATGTCATTATATGAGTTTATTCCAATATTTTATTTAAAGATAGATTTCCCAAGCATCATGGAGTTTCAAAAATCACTGTTGTTTTAAGAAAGAATACTTGGTGGGGTTTACTCTTAGAGATATATATTGTGCTTTACGAGAAGGACGTAACTGTCATAAATCCCTGCTATGATAGGTGGATTCAATCACCAATCTCTTAAAAGGGCAGGCTGTCGTGAGAGCCTTTGATCAAACCAAGTACCTCACACCAGGACGAGGATTACAAGGTAAGGTTTTTAAAAAAATCACTAGTAGAAACAATTAAGAAACAAAATGTGGTAGACAGTATAGCTTTGAAGCAAAAACGTTGTATAGGGAAAAAAAATTCTGGCTACTCATGTTTCATAAATCACTGCACATTACTTCTGTTTTGATCATTTTTGAACATGTAAAATAAAACAGTATGGAATCTTTTAGATTTCCTTGAAAGTTTAAAATGTTGAATGGCTATAGAGGCCAGGTCGAATAAAAATGAATCAGTTGAAGGTATGTAAGGATTACATTGCTTTTGCTGAAACCAAGGGTAACCGTAATGCCTACTGGATTATATCCCAGAGGTGGGGAAGGGGCGTGGGGAATGTGAGTTGGCAAATGGAATAGGATATAGAGGTGCTGTTTCCTAAAATCTAGTTTGGGATAGTGAAAGGGGAATTTTCATCCACATTTGCTTATTTGCCTAAACATTTGTAAGAAAACTAACACGGCAGTTTGAATTTTAGATTTAATAAATTTTCTGTTGTGCTATGCCAAAAGAAATTGTTACCATGCTAATAGTCTAGTACAACAGGGATGAAAGAAAGAGAATTCTGAAGCCTGTGGGCTTAGGTGTTTGGGAAATGGTCAAGACTTAAGAGAGATTTTCTATTTTATTTAGAATTTCAGCAGGAAATGGAACCAAAGCTGAGTTGTCCAAAAAGGTTAAGGCTTCACATCAAGCAAGATCCTTGGAATCTTCCCAGCAGCGTCCGGACTCTTGCTCAGAACATCAGGAAATTCGTTGAAGGTCAGCGTGAAGAGCTAATGTCATTGCATGATGTTAGTGATAATCATTTAAAAACCCATCACCACCAAAAGCTCAGTCATGTCTCTGATTATTTTTTTCAGTGTTTTATGTTGTGAGGAAGATAAAATACCTGAAAGTGGTGAGGGAAGAGAAGGGAAAGAAGGAACGAGGTTGCAGAATGTTGCTTTCTAAGGTTATAAACATTATAGACTATATCGTGGAGAATATTCTGATTGCATAGAATAAGGCCTCAAATGTATGAAGACAAATGGAGCGCAGAGAGATATTTTATACCATGAAAACAATATCAGAAAAAAATGGGAAAGGATAAGGCATGAAGCTGAAGTTCATGGAAAGTCTCAAACAATTGTGATCATGTGTGAGCATCAAAATAATTACATAGGTTGCATTTTACTTTTTAAATTTTTAGTTTCTATTTCAAAAGTGTTCAAGTTGATTATCGTTAACTACTATGCCATTATTGACATAACATCCTCTAGTTGATACGACTTGTAAATTGGAGATGTAAAACTTTGAGACAACTCCAGTGAGTCCGATGGCCTGTTGTTTAAGGTCAGGGTGATGAAAAATTGTGAGAGTTTCCAAAATGATTATGATGAAAAAGATGAAATGGGGAATTTGTTTGATTTTTAAAATGTCTAATTCACCAATTTCCTTCCCAAAGATTGGACTGGTAGTTGGTAATGTCTGGGAATATTTTTGGTTGGTACAATTACAGGTGTGCTACTGGCATCTGGCGCGTAGAGGCCTGGGGTGCTGCTAAACTTTGTACAGTGTCTGAGACAGTCAGTCTTTCACACCAGGGAATTATTTGGGCCAAAGTACTGGTAGTGCTAAGGTTGGGAATCCCATCAATGAATATTTTGCCTGTGTTCATATTATTATTCCTCAGCCATTTGTATGTCTGTTGGATGTGGTAAATAGTATTTATCAGAATTATAGCATCACTCTATCATTTTTAGGGTAAATTAAAGGGAATTGTGTACTTTGCTGACAATGGACAGCTTTTAATACCTGATGGAGTTGGAACCAGTTGCTTAACTCCTTTAGGCTTCAACTTCCACATTTATTAACTGACAGAGATGGTTAAATGTTCTATGATTCCTAAGCCTTCTGCACAGAAATCTACTCAAACATAACAGCTTAGATATTGTTTAGAGATCGATAGAGAGGACGTTTGTACAGATATGGGACGCGTCCCAAATAAATCACAGCTGTGATATGATGAAATCTTGTTTTTGACAGCTGTATTGCTTGTTTGTGTTTTCATTTTACAGCTAATGGTTACCCGTGATACCATGTAAGATCACATTTCAAGAAAAAGTCTGAATTTAAGAGTTCTTAAAATAATGAGTAGCATCCATGATAAAATACTTTACAGAGTAAAAGGTATATTTTTGCTGACTAGGTGCCAGTATCATAACATGCCCAGAAATTATAATTCTACCATTGTTCTCAACATCTCTGAGTATTTCTTTTTATAATACATTTATTTTGGACTAAACACAGTGTTGGAAAGGAATGGAGAAAATCTTAAAACGTTTTTGTTTTGTATTTTTTTGAACAGCTTTGTCTTTAAGATAGAAATGTCTAAAGCAGGATAAAGAGCTTAATTATTAAGAAAAGGTATTCATTTTAATACAACATTTTTATCTCAAGCTTTTATACTGTTTGTCCCTCATGTCACAAGAAGCTGCTGTAGGAATGACAACTATATGCTCAGTCATAGTGATTGATCGTTGGTTGATTGATACATGTTATAAACATCAGTGCCACTTTTGGTTGCGGGGCCAGCAGCTGGTTCAGCAGGTTGGGTGTTTTAAGATTGTTAGGGTCAAGGCTGCATGTGTGTATAGGAGCTCTTTGTAGAATTTAAGTTGCATCCCTGCTTGCAAGTCTCAGTGAGTTTCAGTGAGCTATTTGCATAAGAGCTATGATGGTTACTGTATTGAGCAAGTCTGTAAAAAGTGATTACTTTATCATCACTGCTCCACCCCAGTGGACTATACAGGGAGAGGACAAGCTGCCATTCCCTGACGATCTGTGTGGTGTTTGGTCGTGTTACGAGGGATGGAAACAATAGCCCTGGGATCCTTGAAACCAGTTGCTTGTGACGTAGAGACACTCTTCAAGTAACCTCACCAGTTCAGCACGCATGTATCCTATTCAACTTAAAGTCATTGTTATCCGACTTCTGAAATTGTATTTAGAGAATGATTTCATGGAGGATTAGGTCTTGGCTGAAAATGTAACATTCCGTAGTGCCACCTGGCTAGAATTTGAAGGTTTACATAGGTAGCTGAGGTGACCTGGTTTCTGATGTTTCCTACTCTCTAATTTCCAAATGTCTCATCAGTTATATGCCAAATATGATATCCAAAAGTATACTTCTATGACTTTATTTAGGAAGGATTGTTATAGTTCAATTCAAAAATTATTATCCTTATATACTCATCTATCCGTAGCAGGTTCAACTGTGGGTAGACGAGAACAGAGGAGAGAGTGGAGTGAGAGGGGACATACCGATTGTGTGGCATCACTAAGATAACACCTTGCTCCTTCTTCACCTCTTGCTAAGTTCTTGCTAAAATCTCATATTAAGATTTTTACTGAGTAGCTCACTGTCACCTTAAATTCAAATGTTACACCCTGGGAAGCTGAGACAGGTGGATTGCCTAAGCTCAGGAGTTCCAGACCAGCCTGAGCAAGATGTCTCTAAAAATAACTGGGCATTGTGGCAGGTGCCTGTAGTCCCAGCTACTCGGGAGACTGAGGCAAGCAGATCACTTGAGCCCAAGAGTTTGAGGCTGCTGTGAACTGTGATGCCGCGGTGCTCTACCCACGACTACAGAGTGAGACTGAATTTTTTTTCAGATGTCTATTAGCGAACAGATTTTCAAGCCTTTGCTCCCTACAAAAATAACACTCTTTTCAAAGTCTCTCATTTTTCCAGCAGCTCACTTTTCTTTCTCATTTTTTCCCCTCCATTTGTCTTAATATCCTAAAGAGTATTTCTTCACTTTTTCCCCTTAGTCATCATCACCTTGGTAAAGGTGGTGATTTTCTGGCTAATCTTCCTGTCTCCATCTTTTCTGATTCATATATACGTTACTAGATTCACCTTCCTAAAATACCATGTTCCTAACATCAGCACTCCGTTGTAGTGATTACCTGTGAGCTGGGGGTAAACTCATCAATCTGATGTGAGAAAGGAGCCATTTTTTCAGTGGGGCTTTCTAATGTATCCCAGTCCCAGTACTGCATAGCTCCAGCTAGACTGTTGAATAGCTCTTATTCATTTTGTACTATATTCCTTTGCTAGAATAATTTCTCACTCTTAAAATATGTATCTGCTCCCTTGACAGTCAACATTTAATTCTTGTATGAAATATTTTCAAGTCTCATTTAAAATTTTGACCAGTTTCAGCTAGATTAGATTACAGCAATTACAGTCTTCATGTGTATACGACACTTTAAACAATTTTAAAAGACTTTTTTCTTGTACATTCCCATTTATTTTTCCCACACAGGCCTGTAAAATAGATAAGGTGGGTGTTATCATCATTTATGAATGAGCTGAGATTTGAAAGTAGGTTAGCAATTTTCTAAAGCCATGAAGCTGGCGTCTAACAGATTGGACTTCTGCCTCTTAGCTTAGTGTACCTTCCTCCTCGAATTCTTTTGTTCTTCCGGTCTCACTTGGAAAATTTAGTGCCCTTTCTTGTATTTCGTGCATTTCTTATCACTTAATTCCGTCTGTTGGACTTCACCGTGAACCTGTCTAGAATAGGACATGGCTTCACTTTCTTTCGTTTTCCATAATCTTGAGCACTCAGCAGGAACTGTGTGAGCCTTTTAATTTACCTACTGACCTATTGCAAGTAAACTGTTGACCATTTGGAAGCAAGTGGCCATATAGCTCATTGAACACGTAGTAATGAGTATGAAGTTAATGCATATTTATCAAACATCTCTGATTGCTCTGGTTGGCCCTGTGTAGGACATGGTGGGAAGAAGAGTGTGTGTGTGTATGTGTACATATATATCATAATAGTGTGTGTATATATACTATATGAGAGTATATATATGTACACAGTAAGAATATTTATACACACATATGTATATATGTACACATGTATTTATATATGTACATATATGAAATCTTTTTAAAATAACAATGGCAAGAATATTGAAAGTTTATTGACATGGACTATAATAGCTGTAGAATATTTAGCAAACACCCCACAGCCTAAAACAGCTAATGATGACCTGGACAGTTGGCAGGATTTGAATGGTGTTTTATCTACTAATGTAATTCAGAACTAAAAGACAATTTAGCACCTGGAATGATGGACAGAATTTATATAGGCAAATGCGCAAGTAGCATGTCAAGTGAATGGGACTGTTATTACCTTATATGCTAAGATTGTGCTAATTTTACTACACAGATAAAATGTGGTATTTGTGGCAAAAAAAGAGCAAACAACTAACTTGTGTTTATTTATTTATTTTCTCTGCAGAGGTAAAGTGTAGGATACTCCTGGCTCTTCTTGAATATTCAGGTAACCTTTTGCATTATTTTTTTTTTTACTATAGAACTGATTGTGGCCCAGGGTCTTAAATTATTTTATAATATGAAGGCCATGCCCCTCAACCATTCACAAAGATAGATGGAGACACAATCCCTACGTTCTCTAAAATCTTGAGAAGATTAAAATAGTACTCACAGTTTTAATAAAAACATATATGCACCTTCAATTATAGGTAAAGGAATGAATTCATATATAAAGACAGATTTAAACAGATGTCATTAGAAGGGAGAACGAAAATAGATTTTGCCAAAGGTAGTTGTGCAAATAGGATTTATTAGGAAACTAATTCTAACTTTGACATGAACAGTGATTTATGTACCCGTCAGACTCACATTAGAATGCATCTACCACACACTTAGTGGGATTTCAAAAAATATTGGCAATGAAAATTAACACTGAAGGACAATTAAGTATTCGGTGAAACTCTAAATTACAGATGACAGACTATTAGTGTCATAGGCGCAACACTGCTATCTATTTTGATCATCAACAAATGCCCAAAATAGAGTCTGGCTCATAGATGTTCAACAAACATTTGTTACAAAAATGGATGAAAAATGATATGGCTGTAAAGGAAGAATCTATGAAATATTTTAGCAAGGTTTTTATTAAAAATGCATTAAGAAGGTTTTGGAGCCTCAAAAACATGTTCAGTGAACATGAAGAGTCTAATGTCCGTAGATACAGAGACGGATAGATGTGTTGGTTGACTTGTATTTTGTTATTTTAATCTATTTCTCATAAAGTGTATATGTGGATACACAAGTGCTATTATACTATCTCTAGATTTTGAAAGGGATTTGTTCCTAAAAACATAACCTGACAATTACCTGTCATATAAGTTAGCTTTTTTGTGTTAAAAAGAACAATATAGGCTCAGCGCCTATAGCTCAACCGGCTAAGGCGCCAGCCACGTACACCTAAGGTGGCAGGTTCGAATCCCCAGCCCGGACCCGCCAAAC